AGGTCCCTAAAAGACCAACCCTCTCCAACCTGTACCATGATATAAGAGAGAAATAAATTGTACTGTGTAAAGTCACTGAGAATTCAGTTACCTGACATAGCAGCTGAAGTTACTCATCATCAATAGCATAGCATTTTCCCTTAAGAGCCATTATCTATTCTAGTCAGACTTTTCTGTATGTTGAATGCATACAAAACAAGCCAAACATAGTAAAATTGCTTTCTTTAAAAACAGTTTTACTGAGGTATAGTTGACATACAAAAAAAATTTGGACATATTTAATGAATAGAATTTGATGAGTTTGGAGATATGCATTCATTCATGAAATCACCTCCACAATCAAGGCAATAAACATATCCAACACCTCCAAAAGTTTCCTCCTGCCCTTTTCTGTTTTGTTTTTGTGGTAAGAACACCTAAAGAGGGTGATATCTACTCTCTTTGCAGATTTTTAAGTGCACAATTATAGTGTTGCTAACTACAGGCACAATGTTATTCAGCAGACCTCTAGAACTTACTCACCCAGCATAACTGAAAGTTTATACCCGCTGAACGACACCTCATTTCCCCTGCCCCCCCATCCCCTGAAACCAGCCGTCACTGTACTCTGTGTTTCTATGAATCTGACCATTATAATTAACTTGTACAAATGGAATTATGCAGTATTCATCCTTCTGTGGCTGGCTTATTTCACTTAGCATTTCACTTAGCATAATGTCCTACAGGTTCATCCTTGTTATCACATATGGCAGAATTTCCTTCTTTTTTTAAGGGTGAAAAATATTCCATTGTATGTACATATCATATTTTCTTTATTCATTCATCTGTTGATGGACGATTAGGTTGTTTCCATATCTTGGCTATTTTAAATAATGTGATAAATGATGCTTCTTTAAATATTCTCTTCTCCAGGAATGCTGATCTCATTTATACTATTTGGGCCCATTTCTATTTTCTGAAGTAAATTATCCCTACAGCTGAAAAGGACAACACATTTCTCTCATGTATCCTATTCCCGATTCTTCATCTTCTTTCTGACTAGTGCCTTTTAAACAAATGAAGCTTATGGCTATCAGAGCAACCATTTAAATACCAATCACCACTAGTACTTATATTTCCAACATAGACTCACTTTCGCATTGTAAAAATCTTAATTTTAACCACTGCTCTCTAATGGGACCAAAACAAGAGAAAAACAAAGACCAAAATCCTAACTCTAAGGTTTACATTTCACTTACTAAATGAATGATAGCTTCCAGAAGTGAAATTTCCACAGACTTCTGAAAAGAAAGAATCACAGACATGGATCATCTATAGCATAGCCTCCTAATTGCTGGACTGCCACACTCACCACAAATGGATTACAAGTTCCCAAGATACTGTCCCCTCAGCTCTCTGCAGAGCTGATGCTGCCAAAGGCCCTGGGGCCTCAAATTATGAGCGATATTATCCATTTACACCAGAATGTGACAATTATTGCCATTTTCCAACTACAGCCATCAGGTCAAACAAAAATTGAGGAAGCAAGGACCTATATTAGCAACCCATACCATCCATACTGAATCATTCTTGCTGCTCTGGAGACTGAAGTGGCAAAGACACCAACTCATGCTGACTTGTAAGGTAATGCATTAGCTTGTGTAACTATAAGTCCAGTTAGAATTGCTTTCATCTTTAAAACAGACCTCTTTAAACTTTTCTCAACTTTGTCCTCACCATGGGAGCTGACTTTGTTCCCAGGCTGACTTCCCTCATGGCACCAAAGTACTTATAGCAGTTTCCATCTTCATATCTGCAGCCTCTACGTCCAGAAAAAGAGAGAGGGAAAGCTGTCACTTCTGCTGGCTCACTCTTGAGAGTGAGATTTCTTTCTTAAAGTCCCTGGCAGACTTCTTTTCACTGGACTAAACTGAACCACATTCCTGAACCAATTACGCTGACCAAGGACGTGTGACTACCACATTTACATCCTCAGAATGTGGAATACCTGTAATTCTTCAGTCTGTAAAAGTGGGATACTGTGGCATTACCTGTTCTCACCCATCTTGGATAATGGTATCTATGAAGTCATGGGTATAATGTGACCATTTGTTTATTCCATAATACATATTTATTTAAACTTTACATATTAAAGTTTCAAAAAGTTTGGCCTATCTCCTAATTATACTGTGTATGACACCAGAGAGACACATTCCACACTCTGGCAATACTGGGCTTGATAGAAGAAAAAGGAAAGAAAATGATGGTATTAGAGGATGAGCCATGGATGAACAGAGGGTATAGCTTGTTACAGGGACAATTAATTGCTTAATTGGACTGTAAAAGAGGACTCACTGAGAAATGATGGGAAATGAGAATGAAAAATTGGTAGACTGTGAAGGATCTCAAGTTCCAGGCTGAGGAATGTTACAATTTTGGAAGCCTATTTGTGCTTTTCATCATGAAATGATGAAAGAATTCTTTTAATAACATTAAATTGGCAGACCTATGAAAGATTTATTGGAGTGGGAGGTCTTGGCAATAACAAAGAAATAAAGGTAGAAAGATTTAAAGTAAGAAAAAGGAAAAACTTAGGAGGGGTACATTTCAAAGAAAAGAATTGACTAGAGTGGAGAAATCTGGTATGTGGCATGAAGAGAACAAGTAGTCTAGAGTGATTCCAAGATTATTAGACCAAGTTCTCTAATACAAGACCCTATTTAGCCTATTTTGAGTCATTGAACGTATGTGCACATGTGCATGCTCTGATTCAGATTTTTAGCTAACCCAGACTCAAGTTCCCTATCCAGCAGACTTCTGAGTCTTTCCTAAAATGTCACTGCCCTAAAACAAAGGAATCAGGAGTGGGAAAGCTTGACTCTAAAATGGCAATGACTTCATTGAATAAGTAGTTTTTCCAAATCAAGTCTGAAAGTCAAACCCCATAATCCATCCTGTACCTCCTCCTTCCCCATCAAGACCAGGGCTGGACACCTCCCTTCAGACAAAAAACCTGCCCCACTTCTGAGCCTGACCCTTAGTGGCGTCACATCCCTCATATCTTTAGGAGTTCTAGACCCTGCACCATAGAACTGCAATGTGTCTTCCACGTAGAGGACTTTTAGAGTTCTGATTCTAGAACATGAAATCTTCCTGATGCCTGTTAGGAATCTTCTTAGAAGAGTGGACAAAAACATGCAGATGCTGGAGAGAAGCTGCTGTGGGGTCAGTCAAGTTCGGTGCAGAATTACACTGGCAGCCTTCCCGCTCACTCTCTGTAGGATATTTTACAATAATTTCCACCCTGCATCCTGGCTTCTGTGACTCCTGTTTCCAGCATCGCTGGCGGTCATCTACTACTATCCTCTGGGAACAGATCCTGCAGCTGCATCCCAGAGCAGTGGTGAACAGAGGCCCAACAGGATGTGGCGGCCATGATGCTCTCATAGCTATAGTCTCAGAAATCAGGAGATTTCTGCTGGCTGGCTGTGCCAGGAATGAGGGCAGCAGAGCACTGGAGCTCCATGGCCAGGTGGTAAAGGGCTTAGGGTTCCAACTATTTTATCTCCGAGGTGCCAAGAAATGTAGAACTATCAGGGTGACCTGGGAAGTCATCTCTTGATGAATGTCTGCTTACATGGCTGATGCCACTTAAGCAAAACTGAGTCCTGGCTTATAAACATCTTGATTCTCCCTTTCTGAGACTATTTCCTTAGGTTAGACATAATTGGAAAATATAAAGATATAGATGGTCAAGTCTAACTTTCTGTTTTCTCACTGCTATGGTTATAAAGGAAATCCTGAATGCAAATAGCAGTATTAGTAGTAGCAGCAGCAGCAGCAACCATTATCTTCAGGTTTTCTACGTGCTGAACAATGTACTTGGCACCTTAACTATGTTATCTCATTAAATCAATTAAAAAATCGTATGAATTACATACTATTTTCACTCGTTCTTTTTACAGATAAGAAAACAGAATTTAAAATGTTAAATGCCTTGAATATAACATAGCAAATAAATGGCAAAGCCAAGATTTGAACTCAGGTTTGTCAGAGTCCAGAGCAAGAGCACTTACTGAGCCCGCCACTCATACCATCTATAGGAATTTAGTCCATGAAACTCACTCTGTTTCTGCAATAGCCAAATGTATAAATTTCACATAGTTAAACATATTTTAACATCCTGAAAAACTTTTTTTCCTCTTCTAAAAGTTAAGAGGAAAACTGTCATACACTGTTGGTGAGAGTATAAACTGGGACAACTGCATTAGAACACTATTGGCGTTGTTTACTAAAGTTGAAGATTTGCATATTCTGTGACCCAGCAATTCTACTCCTGGGTCTATGCCTAATAAAGATGTGTGCACATGTGCACCAAAGGAAAGGTACAAGAATGTTCACAGCAGCATTATCTAAATAGCCCTAAACTGCAAATAACCCAAAAGTCTATCAACAAAAGTATGGATATATATTTTGGGTATATTCACACCAAAAAATTGGAATGCCATACATAAATAAAAAGTAATGAACCCAGTCACACACAACAACATGGATAAATACTGTGCTTAGGAAGGCAGACACACAGAACACATGTTGTATGATTTGACTTATTTAAACTTCAAACACAAACAGAGCTAAACTATAGTGTACAAAGATTCATACTTAGGGGACAAAATTATGAAGTAAAGCAAGTTAAGTGATTACCATAAAATTCAGAAAATAAATAGGGGGGTAGGGGAAGGGTGAAGTGGGTAAAGGGGATCAAATATATGGTAGCTGAAGGAAACTGGACTTTGGGTGGTGAACACACAATAGAATACACAGATGTTAAATTATAATGTACACCTGAAAATTATATAATTGTATTAACCAATGTTACCCCAAGAAACTTAATTTTAAGAAAAGAAAGAAAAGAAGTAGAGGCTGGGAGAGGCTTCTGGGTGCTGTGGGGTGCTGGCTTAAGAAGGTAGTTATGCATGGCTTGCTTTATAATAATTTGTTAAACCATGCACGCATGTTTTAGCTTTGCACAGTGGCCGTATCATAACCAATGAGGTTTATCCAAGGCATGATTACTGCTAATTGAAAACTTTTCCCAAATATGTATGTTTTATGCATTTTCTATATATGTATAATATATAATAGAAATTACTTAAAAACAATTTTAAGGGAGGAAAAGGCAAAAAAAAATGCTACTTTTGCTTTTAAATTCAGGTTAAAACATCTTGGTGATCACCCCATTTAAAGCAGATTTTAATTGAAAGAACCTGCTACCTCTAGAGTCACTTCTACCCTCTTTGCTGATATGAAGGTCCCCAATTTTATCATTAATGTTTTTCTTGTTAAAGAAATGTTTCCTTGTTCACAGTAAAGGTGACTGCACTCACATGTTATTTCTCTAAGAAAGAACTGATCTGGTCTGCTTTTACAGAAGTAATCATGAGCTTTTTGAGTAACCTTTGACTCAAGGATGTTTTTGTAATAGGCAAATGGTAACATCAAGGCTTATTGTTTTTATTAACACATCTGAATAAATGTTTGTCAGAACTAGAAACATGGACAACCATGATACTAAGAAAGATACTTGGACAGAGCCAGGGATGGAGATGGGATGGGAGAAGAGACTGAGTCCAGTCCCAATGGATGGCCTGCTCAGGTACCTCAGGCCAGAGCACACAGTAGGTTAGAGCCCAGCTTCTGTGGGTTTTAAATGCCTAAGTAGGCAGCATTTCAAGATACGCAGTTGAGATGATCCTAAACTCTCCATTCTAAAGGGCTTGGCTTTTAAACTAAAATAATTCAGGACACGTTGAAGATTTTATTGATTTCCAAGTTCAACAACAGAGAAAAGTAAGTGGTGGTAAGAAACCTTGTCTCACATTCTAAGAAGCAGCTATTTGCACTCTCTTACTCTGTAAGCATTCACCTCCCCATGCACATGCCCGTCAAACTAAACCTCACTTCACTGTTCTCCATGGCAAAGAACAGGAATGAGTGAAACTTTTGCAAAACTACATGGGGCCCTGTTCACTTCATTCTGTGTAAGAGAAGTAAACACTGATACTGTCGTCCAGGCAATTGTTCTAAGCTATTTAGATACAGAATTTCATTTAATCTTTACCGTAACTCTACAAAGATGGTTCTATTTTTATTACCTCATTTCACTAAGGAGAAAACTAAGTAATGCACAGAGAAGTTAAGTAATTTGTCTTATTATAAGCCACATTTTGGTCCTGTTAGGAAAAATGTAGTGCACAAATTAAAATTAAACTTTTGGCTTCTCTAAATCTTACCCATCTTTCGAGACCCATCTAAAATTCTACTTCCTTCATTAAGCATTCAATAATAGACTTATACTTGTCTGAATTACATAATATCTTCTCAAACTGTACATCTTAACATTATTTGTGATCTTGTCTGTGCTTTACCTCCCAAAACAGCCTATAAGCTCATTGAAGACAAGAGCTGTCGCACATATGACTACATACTCCCACTCTCTACCTTGCCTCAGCTCCCAAATGGTGATACTTGCAGACACAAGGTATGGACTTTAATTGTTGAACTGAATTGAGTCACCCACTCAAAGCATATTTTGGTTATTTTCTTAGGTACCAAAAGCTAGACTATACACATACACAAAATTTTCATGTGTGGGGAAACAAAGTGGGTGAATTTTTACCCCACATGCTTTTGTATTACAGTCGACCCTTGAACAGTATGGGTTTGAAATGGATGGGTCCACTTTTACATAGATTTTTTTCAATGATTATACAGTTGGCCCTCTATAACCCCGGGTTTCACATCTGCAAGTAAACCAATCACAGATCAAAAACTGTATTTTCAATCTGTGGTTGGGAATCCACAGATGCAGAGGCCAACTGTATGCATTATTCTATGCAATTTTATATGAGGGACTTGACCATCTGTGGAACCTGGTACCCACAATGAGTCTTGGAATCAATCCTCCGTAGATACCGAGGGACAACTATAGTCAAGTTTTTGGGGAATCAAAAGTTACATGCAGAATTACTACTGCACAGTTTACGGGTGGGTTGTCAGTGCCTCTAACCTTTGCACTGTTCAAGGGTCAACTGTATTTAGATTTTTACGGCAAAAGATTTAACCGTAAACTTAAAAGTTTCTGGCAGGAAAAGGGAGGCAATGAGTTGAAGAACATGAACTGAAAGTAGAAATGTTGATTCTCAGTATTGGTTCTACCATAGACAAGTCTGAAAGGTTCCCTGGGCTGAAGAGAAGGGACTAAGCAAAGAGACGATAAAGTCTTGCCTCTGCTCCTGGACTTGAAGCCTACGAATATATTTCATTCTCAAAGTTTTCATTACTTAATCGTATACGTTTTAGGTGACATAATACTATAACAGTACATTTTAGACTCAGTTTGTTGTCAATGTCATTCATAATGCGTGTGTGGGCATGTATGTGCACGTGTGTGTGGGCATGTGCGTGTGTGTGCGTGTTTGTGTGTATGTGTGTGTTTCCTTAGAGATGTGTTAGAAAATATAAAGCTTGTCAGGACCTGAGGGTAAAATTATTACTGGAATTTAGGCACCAAAATTTTGCTCTGAGCGTTCTGAGAGTCAAAACCAAAATGTAAATATGTTAAGCCATAATTGTTTAGAATTGTGATTTCCATTTAAAGGGTAACTCAAAATGGATTAAGGACCTGAATATAAGATTTGAAACAATAAAATGCAAAGAAGAAAACACAGGAACTAAACCTTGGACTTTTTGAATTTGAGGATTTTATGAATTTGACTTCAAAGACAAGGGAAGTAAAAGCTAAAATAAATGAATGGGACTACATCAAACTAAAAAGCTTCTGCTCAGCAAAAGAAATTGTCAACAATGTAAAGAGACAGCCATCTGAATGGGAAAATATATTTGCAAGCAATGCCTCCAATAAGGGCCTATTATCCAAAATATACAAAAAACTCATACAACTCAATAACAACAAAAACCAAAATGATTCAATCAAAAAATGGGCAGAGGACCTGAACGACACTTCTCCCTAGAGGACATACAAATATTTGAAAAGATGCTCAACATCGCTAACTATTAGGGAAATGCAAATCAAAACCACAATGAGATACCATCTCACACCTGTTAGAATAGCTATAATCAGTAGGACAAGTAATAACAAATGTTCGAGAGGATGTGGAGAAAAAGGAACCTTCATACATTGCTGGTGAGACTGCCAATTGGTACAGCCACTATGGAAAACAGTATGGAAGTTCCTCAAAAAACTAAGAATGGATCTACCATATGATCCAGCAATCCCTCTACTGGGTATTT